AATTGGATTAAAAAATGGATTTCATATTATTAATCAGCGTTAAATTCTACATAGAATTGATATATCATTTGTCATAAATTACGTAAATAATTATTTTCGAACAAAAGTTCTAAGTCGAATAAGTCGAAAAATATTCGAGATAAATAAATTTGAATATCATAATCGGTTTTACCGTTGAATTTTACATAAATTTAATGTATCATATATTTATTTATTAAACTTTCAATTTCGTGTACCCATGCGACAAGCTGACCAAATAAAATAACAATTTAGAAAGTAAACTACACATAAGTAAAAATAAACAAAAATTACCTTTCGTGATGACAAACAAAATATTATCAAATACATTACATGTACAAAAAGAATTAAATAAAAATAATACTTCTACAAATATTATTAAACAGCATTATACTGTACAACAATTACCAAACCTAGTTATAAGCTATCTAATTAATATAACTAAATAACTTACAACATAATTGCTACGTCAATAAATCACCATGTTCAAACTCAGCGACAAATTCCACGAGATCAGGGGCAATTACTACGGCAAACGATTTCTGCCCTCTACGGTAGAGTACGCGCTAGACTACAAACCCCGTTCCCGGGATCGTATCATGCTCACTTATCCAAAGTCGGGCACGTGGTGGGCCGAGTTCATCGTAACCCAGCTAATGGCCCAGGGTCGCAAACCAGACACCAACGAGCTATTTTACCGTAAATACTTTCTTGAATATCACGGTAAGGCGCTGTTGGACAGGGAGGTTGGCAAGTCTTCTAAAGAATTGGGCGAGGTCACTTTCATCAGAAGTCACCTGGCCTTTAAGCTGTTCCCGTACCGCCCGGAGCCCCGGTATCTGTTGCTGTTGCGCAACCCTAAAGATGTTTGCGTTTCGTTTTACTTGTATTTCAAAGAGGTATTTGAGATGGAGATTGACTTTAAAGAGTATTTTAAAGTAAGTCTAATAAAATTGTTTGAAATAATCTTGCTAACTTACTTGTTACTAGTTAATACTGTTGCTGATTTACCATTGTACCATTTAAAATTAACATTGTTTTATAATAATAGTGATTAATTAAAATCAATAACAATTAGTAATTATGAACTTTGAATTAATAATAATAGTACCAGTAAACTTTATTGTACAAAACAGTTAATTTAATTATTCTTATAATTGGGTAGCGTAGGATATGTAGGTTGAGAAGTTATTTAATCATATTAGTGGTAATAATCTTGATCAGATTAATACACATCACATTTTTACACCACATAGCTATGGATTAGCGGCAAATCTGAGCTACCGTTTGGTGACTACTTCGAAGCGGTGCGGGACTATTGGTCGCACCGGGACGACCCAAATTGCACCCTGGTCATTTACGAGTATATGCTGGCCAATCCGGCACAGGGTGTCCGACAAATAGCCTCATTCCTAGGACCCAAATACGTGGCCCGACTTAATGAGCGGGAGAGCGACACCGGGGAATCCCTATTGGAACAGGTTGTTCGGGAATCTAGTTTTAACGCTATGAAAGGGTCGCTGAATAAATCGGATCCACATTTCCGGTCGGGAAAAGCCGGTGACTGGAGATCGCATTTGAATCGCCCCGAGAGTGACGCCATCGACGCCCGGGCGGCTCAGGTCTGGGCCGGCACAGGCCTGCTTGAGCTCTGGAAACGCGAAATGGACTGGTAATTACAATATTATGACCATGTTATAGTTAGTTAGTTTTTTCTAACACTATTAATGTATTAGTAAATACAGTACTTATTATACTTAAGTTTATAATAGTATAACACATTTAATTAAATTATCAATATTATATTTTTGATTACTAATTTAATAAAATAAAATTTACTTTTTAATTTATTATGTTTTTAATTATTTATTAATTTTGAGTTTTTGTATTACAATCAATAGGTTTACGATTGGGTCGACTATTTGTTAAAGAAAATTGTGTTTTATTGAAGAGTTATAATAAAAATAATAATTTATTAATAAATATTGTTAATAAAATTTACTAATAAATATTTTTATTAATAAAATAATAATTGTAAATTAAAAGTTAATTAACTAATATAAATTTAAATTTTACTAATGTTGTTATGTTGATGATTACTATCTTAAATAATTAAATAAAATTGCTTTCAATTGTAAGTGTTTGCAAATATTAAATATAAATTATTGTGTAAATTATTTTAAAAAATCAATATTTATTTATTTATCCAATAGTAGATTTTTAACAGGTTTGACATTATGCCTATGCAAAAATAATATAATAATTGATAACTAATAATATAATTCATAATGTAATAACATTTTATTAATAATTTAAATAAAAAGTATAACATTATTTTTAAAATATCATTATGTAAATTTAATTAATATAACTTTATGTATATACTAAACTTTATGATTATTTATAAATTGTGTTGGATTATTTATTTTAAAAAATATTTAAGAATAACTGATATTTGACAAAACTAACATTTATGTGAATATCAAAGCATCTGAGTAAATAGTAATAATTTATTAATAAAGCTAAAATAATTTGAGGTATATACAATACTTGCTA